AAAATTTTATTTTAATTTTAATTTCAAAATTAATTTTATAAAAAAATTCTTTATTTTTCATTTGTTTTGAAATTTTAAAGATTTTTAAAGTTTTTATAGAATTTTTTTAATATTCAGTCAGTACCAAATATAACTAAATGTGTTAGTAGATACATTGAATGTGCCACTAGCCTAGTGGTAAACGACCTTGCCACTTAATGCAATCAACCTGGGTTCGATTCCAGTGGTCTACGTTTTTTATTTTCAAATAGCTTAAAACGACGTCGTTTCATCCTAACGGCAACAATTAACGTCCGACTTAACACCGTCTTAACGGTTTGTTAACGGTGTGTTAAAATGGCGAGTCAATCGTAAGTTTCTTAATAAACTAATAAAGTCAACAAAAGTTCAGGTTTCTTTTGGCCAGACTCGAGTACAGGTTTCTTTTGGCCATTCGTGCAAAGTTGGTGCTTTTTTTGGCCGAATTCTCTTTCCTTATTGCATGCAACTCTCACTGTAATACAATTACCTCAAAATGATCAAATCATATTCCTTTTGTATTTGCCAATGCTTAAAACAAAAAAACAAACTAAAAGTGTAAATAAATAAGCAAATAATATAACTCATATCATATTAGGTGTATTTTTTCTTGTAGCTTACTTTTATCCAGAGACGGTCTTGGACCATACATAATGAAACATTTGCAATAGGTTCCCAAAATTTTTGAAACAATTTATAAATATCAGTCTCAAAAAAATTTTTTAGGCCCCTAAATTTTTTTAAAAATATACATAGAAATTGTTATAGGTTTCAAAATTTCAAAACTGGTCTTACCTTTACCTATAAATAAATATCATATGTCTTATATATGTATTTTTATAATCTTTTTAGTATCAGCTAAGTCTTATACAAATTTGGATATTGATTAAAAAGACTTTTTGTAAACATATATAGTCTTTTTGACTAATATTACACAATTTACAAAGAAAAGTTTCAACACTAGCAAGAAAAGTATGGGGAAAATAAATAGAAATTTTCTGTTACATAACAAATCAAGAAATATGATTGGTTAATAAATCGGCGCGCTCTGTTATGGTTGGATCCATGTCATCCCATCTCCTTCACCACCTTCTTCACCTTATCTCTCCCCTCTTAAATTATTCTGTTTCTTTAAAGCTACAAATCTCACGACCTCTAGCCTAACCATATTCACAAGTAGAGAGAGAGAGAAAATAAAGCGAAAAAGATCCAAATAGCTTTATTTCTTTCTCTCTTTCATTTCTGCAAAAATATTAGGAAGATTAAAGAACTCTCTCTGTATTCATCTTCTTCGATAAAAACAAGCCCGTGTGTGGGGTCTGTTTTTTTCTTCATTCCTAGCCTTGCGATTCCGATAAAACCATCGGATTCAATCCCAATCCAAATCCACTTGTTATTTCACCTTAATATATAGATTGCTAGAGAGAGAAAGAGTTACCTACCTTTTACCATCTCTATATCTCTTTCTCTCTCTATATCAGCTTTGTCTCCTCCTGTTCTCATGGAAGCCTCATCCAATGATCGCCTTCATTTCGGCGTAATGGGTTTCGGGTATAAAAAAAAAACATAATTTTCCTCTGTTTCTCTCATGTCTTTTTAGTTATCAGATCAATGTTTCCTGGCTTGTGTCTTGTTCTTCTGGTTGATCCGTAGATTCCAACAATGTTAAGCTCTAAATCACAAAGTTTCTACCTTTTCCCAAATCTGATTCATCAGCTTCCAGTTTCTGAATCCAAACGATTCTGTCTTTTTTGTTTGTCTGCTCGAAACCATAGACCCATAGTAGATCTGTCTCGATCTATATGTTTTTTTTTTATAATCCATGAAACCGTATCTGATCCATGTAGATCGTTTCTGTTGCATGTGTGTAATAGGTGCGACCATTACAAGAGGAGATGCCAAATCAGAGCTCCTTGTTGCAACGAAGTCTTCCCTTGTCGCCATTGTCACAACGAGAGCACTGTATATATTCTCAATCCTCACCCATCTTTATTACAGTTTTAAAGTACTTTCCTGTTTTATGTCCCAACGGTAAATTAAAGTTTTTTGAAACATTATTTTTTTTTGTAATCTATTTGGGTGTTCAGAGCACATTGCGCAATATCTATGACCGTCACGATCTTGTTCGTCAAGATGTTAAACAAGTAAGATCCCATCCTCTTAATTGAATTATGTGATCTCAGCAATTTTGTTTTTATTTTCTAATTTTGTAACATATTATGGTTTTATTTCAGGTGATTTGCTCTGTTTGCGATACAGAGCAGCCGGTAATTCTCGTCATTCTTATGAGCTATGATCATCACACGTGTATCTGTATAGTTCGCGTGTGTGTGAAGTTTTGGTTTGTTTCAATTGTGTTTTATTTCAGGTAGCTCAAGTTTGCACCAATTGTGGTGTCAACATGGGTGAATACTTCTGCGATATTTGCAAGTTCTATGATGATAATGTAAAGACAATTGAATTCTTTTATACATGTTTGAATCTTCTTTCCTTATCAGTATTTGATTCTGTATACTTCTGTTTGTTCTGTTTCAGACTGAAAAAGAACAGTTCCATTGTGATGACTGTGGAATTTGTAGGTGAGAAACTTTCTTCATACAGTGCAGTAATAGTTTATGTTCCCCTTAAAATGTGATTCGTTTGAAACTGTATTTTTTTTTTTAAACTTGGCATTTCATTGTGTGTTGCAGAGTTGGTGGGCGTGAGAACTTCTTCCATTGCAAGAAGTGTGGTAAACTTCAACGCCACAAACATTTTCTTTTCCTGATAAAGACAATCAAGTGTTGTTGACTGACTCATGAAGTTATCTATTTAGGATCTTGTTATGCGATTGGCCTACGCAACAACCATCGCTGCGTTGAGGATTCAATGCGACATCACTGTCCCATTTGTTACGAGGTACTGTATCTGTGTTAAAGAGAGCCCCAAGGCTTTAAAGCTGAAAAATTCAGCAGACCGTGTGAGTGAGTATGCTTTTTGTATCTCTTGCAGTATCTCTTTGACTCCCTTAAAGAAACAACAGTGATGAAATGTGGACACACTATGCACTGTGAATGCTATCATGAGATGCTCAAGCGTGACAAGTAATTTTACACCTTTTTCTTTTTAATTATCTGTCTATGATTAAACTTTCTAGATGATTGTGATGGTTTTTGAACTTGTGAATTCTTGTTTGATGTAGATTTTGTTGTCCAATTTGCTCAAGGTCAGTGATTGATATGTCAAAAACATGGCAGAGAATGGATGAAGAGGTTAGTTTAACATATCCATTCTTGACTAAACTATGTGTATCCATGACTGAAATATATACTCTTTGGTTTTCTTAGATCGAAGCCACTTCTATGCCTTCAGATTACCGTGACAAGAAGGTAAACAAGTTCTTTTCTATCACTCAGAGGTATATAATTTTCACACCTAGTTAACCAAATTTAACTGACAAGACTATGCGGACTTTGAGCAGGTTTGGATACTGTGCAACGACTGTAACGACACAACAGAAGTGAACTTCCATATAATAGGGCAGAAATGTGGACATTGTAGATCTTACAACACCAGAGCCGTCGCACCTCCTGCTCTTCCTCAATGATAAAAACAAACAAACATCTTTCACTTATTGCCACCAGAACGCAAACAAGAACTTCTTGTTGCACTGTGATATGATTACATATCACCAAAGCAAAACTCACATTTGTCTTCTTCATGATTCGATTTGTTGTTGTTTTTATTACCATTTATGAAGCCAGGATAATGTATAATACATACTCTATATATTCTTGATCCAGGAAAATTACCTGTGATAATATATGTTTCAAAATAGTTGTTTGTTCCAAGAATCTCTCAAATTCACAGTTTTTCAATATCATTGTAATCTCATCAGTTACAACACTTGACACAACTCAAACTCATTACCACTAGAAAAACTGTTCACCAAGCTCTTGACCAGCCATCCCTTCCCTAACAACTTTCTCAAAAAAATCCTCAAGCGTATCCTTCCCATAACTCGGAGTCATCTCCTCACTATACTCCCCAGTCTCCGGATCAAGAATCAACATACTCTCCGCAGCATAATACCTCCCAATCTTCCCAAACTCAGCAGCTTCCTTAACACCAGGCACCACCTTAGCAACACCATCAAGCACCCCAATCACAAAGTCCATAACCTCAAAAGGCACCTTCAAAAACTTAGGCTCTCTCCCAAGCACCCTAAACAAAATCTCCCCTTGCTCCAACGGCGTCAACGCCTTCCCTGGCCCACCAATAGGTAAAACCTGATTCATCTTGTCCTCTTCCAAGACACAGTCCGCTATAAACGAAGCTAAATCCTCCTCACTTATCGGTTTACAAGCGCAAAGCTTACCGTCTCCGAACATAACATAAGGCTTCCCTTCTTTGACAATCTCCACTTGTCCACCTAAGCTTTTAAAAAAAGCCGTTGGTCTAACGATACTGTACGTAAAAGTTGAGTCTTTTTGGTTCATAAGCTCTGCTTCGAACTTGAGTTTCGCGCGCTGAAACTCCAAAAGAGGCTTTTGGACACAGATTGCTGAGAGGAGAACGAAGTGTTTGGCTCCGAAGTTTTGACCAGCGACGAGACTGTTCTTTGTCGCTTCGTAATCGATTTTCCACGAGTCTTTTATCCCTCCGTTACGGCTAGCGAGACAGGAGACAACGACATCGATACTTAGGTTTAGGTTCTGTAAAGATTCTTGGAGAGAGGTTATATCAGTAACGTCTGAGAAACATACGTTGGCGCCTTTTAACTGTTTTAAAGTCTCTTCTTTGTTGTTTTTGCCTCTGACGCCACTCTTCTCTCTTGCGACAGCGATCACGTTGAAGCCTCGAGAGACGAGCTCTTTGACTACGAATCTGCCTATGTACCCCGTGGAGCCGACGACTAGGATGTTTATTTCGTTAGCGGGTTTGTTCCTGAAGGTGGGAGAGGATGATGTGTTGATCTCTGAGGTTTCGAGAGATGAGATTGGTTTGAGTTTTGGTCTTGTGAGGGTGAGATTCGTTGAGGGTTTTTGGGTTTGGAGAGGGAAGGAGTTTGGTTGGTGAGATCTTGAAAGGAGTTTGGAATCTTTGAGGAAGGTTTTGGGTTTTGGTGTGTAGGAAGCGAAGACGTTGAAGGGAGAGGAAGAAAGTGACATCCTTTATGTATAATGCTGCTTTGGTGAGAAAGTGGGAGGAAGTGTAGGAAGGTTATTTCAGAGAGACGATGTGAGAGCCATTGATTTGTATTTCTCTGGATAACTCGTTTGATCTTCTTCTTCATCCTCAAACACATAAATAAGTTAAATTTAAAACAAAGCCCGTGTATTTTACTTTATTTTGAAATTAACTCCGATAGTTTTTAATGGTTATGATTCAGTAGTTTTGACAAAAATAAAAGGGGTTATTGGGAGATGAATTCAATCAATTTTGAAATCCTTTTATTATTGGTTCATGAATTTTAAATCTTTTAGTACTATTATTGGTTTAAGAATTTTCAAAATATATTCAAACACCTAGTTATTCAAAAAGTGTACTCATTATTGATTCTCTAATTCTAACTAAATCTAGTGTTATTGGAAGATGAATTTTCTATCTTTCAACACATAAGACACAACTTTCAAAATATCAATATGTATCCATGAGATTTTCAAAATATATATGATTAAAATATCTAAAAAACAAAATTATTCTTCTTACCAAATATATATTTCACCTTTAATCAAAATTATATGTCTCGAATTATAATTCATTACATTTTTATTTACTTACTTTTGAATGTATAATTATATTTTTATTTTGTTTCAAAAAAACTAAAATAATACTCCCTCCGTTTCAGAATATATGTCTTTCTAGGCTTATTTTTTTGTCACAAATTAAGTGTCGTTTTATAGTTTCGAGGCAAAATTTATTAGTTTTATATAATATTCTATTTTTTATTGGTTGAAAAGTGGTTAGGTGTATAGGTAATTGTGTTTTTATCTTGGAAATATATAAAATTAAATATTTTCTTAATCTGTGTGCAAAATCTAGAATGACAAATAAAGTGAAACGGAGAGAATATACAAAAGTGGCCAAAAGAGGTTTTATTAAAGATCAAAAGATTTTTCTACTCTTTGTTTAAGAAATATAAATAATAAATATTTAATTATAAAAATAAAAAAATAAATATTTTTATGTTTTTATATGATTTCAGATTCAAACTTTTTTTCTATTTTTCAATTTTATTTTTAGTTTTATTTTGAAATTTGAAAATTCTTCTTGAAACTATTTTTAAAATTTTTAATATTTATTTTCTATTTTTGAATATGTTAAATCCTACCCCTAAAACCAGACCCTTTAACTCTAAACAAAAAAGTTTAACATTAGTTAATGCTAAAGATATAAAAGTATATTTACCCTTCTAAAAAAAATCTCTTTTGGTCATTTTCTACCTTCAAAACTTCTTTTTGTGATAAAAACTCTTAAAATGACTATATTAGAGAATTTCTCAAATCTAAAATCATATATTTATTTTATGAAAAGAAATATAAAGAAAGGAAATACAAATTCATGAAAATCTCTTGCAATCTAGAAAAGTATGATCAAATTTTACAAATCAACATATATATATTTTCATATTCCATATAACTTTATAAACCTATCAACTTTTTAAATCCACAAACTCTACACAAATTCATCTCCCAATAATCCCCCGAGAGAAGTTAAAAATGGGTTTACCTTAATTCACTACTAATCCAATACCAAAACCAAAACATCTTATTCATTAGTCATGACTAATCAGAACCAAACATACATGTATAATTTGAAGATAAATCTTTTTTTTTTGTGGGGTAATTGTGATCTGATATGTATACTGGTCGAAGGTTGGTCAACGGCACCGGACAACACGAACGGCAGTACGGCGTTCGTTGGAGGTGCAGACGGCCATGAGAGAGAGACAGACGACTAGCATGATAAGGAGATGTGTTAGTAAACTATTGTCGTCGCCACCACCACCACCACAAGCCGCAGACATGCACATCCCACCCATTCTTCGAAGATGAGATGATTAGTCTAAGGAAGATGTGATGATTAATTAAGAAGGGAGAGGAGAGTAAGATGAAATTGTTAGATGAGAAGGAGCTGTCTTTAATGAGTTTTTGATTTGTAATTTGGTTTTAATAATGGTTTTTGTTGGACTTGATTCAGCCAACTTCGTGTTTTAATTATGAACTAGATTTTGACAAATTTTACCATTTTAATAAAATTTATTTAAATTAATTACTCAAACACAAAAATTTAAAAGTTGTTTTATTAATATTTAAAAATGTTCTATTATAATGTTTGATTTTCACGTAATGTTTTCATATCAGACCCAAATCCATAGTTGAACCGGTACATTTAGCAACTTTTATATAATCCAGTTAAGATTTAATTAAAAAATTACTAATTAAAAATTTGAGCCAACCTGGTATATATCTTAAAACTCGCTATTAATCTATATTATGATATTTGTTGATCCGTTAAATAACCCCATAAAACAACTGATGATAATATATTTTTAATTTTTTTTAAATAACTCATATTTTTAATATTAAAGAAAAATTGATTTTTGTAGTTTCTTTAATAAAAACTTTCTTGTCATTTGAAAAAAATGAAACAATAGTAATAGAAAAAAACACAATTTATTCATATAACAATAGTAGTTTCTTTTCGTTATTAATAACCTATGGTAAATTTACATTTTTATTCATTTTATATCTAAAAATTAGTTTTTAAAACAAATTGAATTGACATATTCTTATTACAGATAAAATGACACAGAATAATTTATAATTTTTGATTGCTAAATAATATAATGCACGAAAATATGATATTAAAATTAAATAGAAAATCATAATTTTCATAAAAGGAAAATTATAATTAATCACAAAAATCCAAAATATTATCAGTTACCATAAATATAGGAGATATTAAATTGCTTAGTTAATTAAGATTCTAAAATAAATAGTGGTATTATCTTATAAATATAATAAAAATCTGAGGGTAGAATCCAAAATTTTAACAATAGGATCCTGATTTAATAGTATAGATAAACCTATGTTTTGTTTTTGGTTTACCTATTTTGATGGACCAAAGACTTAAGGCATAGTCTCTCGTCATTGTATAGACAACATGATGTTTTTATAATCTGTTCCTACATGCGAAAGTACTTGATCAAGTAATTACTGTATGTTTGAGATTTGAGAATCATGATTCAAGTCTTGGTCTTCGGTATGTATGTTTTATATTTTTTATAAAAAAAATCAGCATGGTATTATAGACTTAAAAATAGCATGGTATTATAGACTTAAAAATGAAACTTTTGGTTATCAATGAAAAAAAATACATTTTCTTGGCCAAATTGACTCTGTTGATTGTCAAGTTTCGATGGTAGACGTACAACGGTTTAATAGTAAAGAAAAGTTTAAATATAATCAAAGTAGGTTCCGACGTTCAACAAGGTGATCGTGTTAATCTTGTTTGTATAATAACTTGGACGTGAATGCGACTTACGAGTAGAACTTAGGCTTGATGATTTAAGTCTTGGGCTTGGGTTTGACATATCTAAAATACCATTTTACCCAATCAATTCAACCCCAGCGAAATAAATTGGAAATGTTGTACATATGAGTTGATAAAAAAAAAATGTTGTACATATGTTGGAATTTGAAAAACTCATGATCTTCCAAGTAAGGAATATATATAAGTCTGCATTTAACTTTACAAACTGAAAGTACATATTAAGAAGTGAAAAGTACAAACTGAAAGTGTAATAATTTAACAATCAATGGATGCGTCACGAAACCTAGATTTGTTTCTAAAAGTTAACGTGTTATAGACTTATAGTTAGACAATTATGATTAAACAAATCACTTTTAGATATTTCGATGAAACTAGTTATGATAATTATTAAGTAGAAGTTAAGAAAATGTAAGTCGTATACGCATCATCAAGTGGCAACAGCCAAGTGGGAAAAGATTGATACTTGGTTCTAAATGTTCCAAATTCAAAACCTATAATTATCTAACACGCCCTAAAGACCTTTGTCCGTTCCCAAAGGCCAATTTTCTGTTTTAGGTCTACTGATACGTAACGTAAAGGGCCACGACGCATTCTTGTTGCATTTTTCATGTGACCAGAGAAAGTTATTGAAATTGTAACTATCTCGTTTTCAAGTATTAGGAAATCACCGTCTAAACTATACAATGAAAATTGAACTATATATTCCAACCTCTCTTTATCGTTTTAAAAGTATTTGACTGCAAAAAGTAAAGAAAAGAAAAACCTACTATATATAGAAGTTAAACTTTAAGAACTTGAAGAAATGACAAACATACGCAAAGAAAGAGTCAGCACTCAGCAGCTTGAGATTGACAGTACTAAACAAATGTGAGGGAACATAGTTGCATGGAACTGACTCAGCGTGTATATTTTTAACCTCCCATATTACAACACGTGACAACTTGTCTGAACCGAGTGAAAAATAATCGTTTACAAAACCCACACACCCTCGTCATTGACAACTTGACTTGACGTGGCATTTTAACATTACCACGTTCTTTTCTCGATACAAAACAATGTTATTATCCACTTCCTTTCCTTTTTTAACGTAACGTCAATTTTTCTATATACTATGCATATGATATGATTGTGTTTTTTTTTTCAAATAATGCATGGGAACAATTTTGTTACTTAGCTAAGCCATCATAGTGTTGCCAAATCAATCATCTAATAAAAATAACTTTAAATAACGAATGATTTATCAGATACTCCACCAAAAAATCCTCTAATCTAAAAAAATATATTGGATATTCACCAATCAGAATGGTTCTGGATATTGTTCATTGAATCCAGCTATGATAATAGGTTTATACAGTTAATTTAGATAAGATTCAGCTGCCTCGATATTCTAACAGTAGTTAACCAACTTGACATAGAATAATACATGTCAGACCATATTCAAGAAGGATAAAAAATCAAATAACACTAGAACAAATTAGAAAGGACTTTCTGAAACAAACAATTCCTATAGCTCGATCGGATGCTACTGTTAAACACACAATTTCAAGGTTTATTGTTTTGACGTTACTAAAAGAAAAAAAATTGTAGTTTCATGGCTATGATCTATTGATCTCTACTATCACTCACTTTTTCTCCATAGAACTAGACCACTAGAAATACTTTTCCCATACTGTTGACGAAGAAAAATATAAGTTTCAATTTTCGTGGACGCATTTAACCATCAATATTTGTCATTAATGTAGAAAAAAATGAAAAAGACAATTATAAGCGGCTACAAGTATGGGAGCATTATGAGGACGACACGTGGAGTGTCCAGGAGGGCACAGTTTTATCCACGAACCTTTCTTCTCATCACTGTTATATAAACCAAACCCAAAATCCTTAAAGACATCCACAAATCACTTCTGTTTTTTTTTTGTGTAATCAATTTTACTTTGTTCAGACAAGTTCGGATAAAGTTACAACCTTTTTAGCTTTCCTCTATCTTCTTTGATCTCTCGATTTCGAATCAATCTTCTCTTTGTCCAAAAATGGAAGTTTCAGTGATTGGAAACCCCCAAGCGAAGATCTGCAGAGCAGAGTTAGCCTACAGAGAGTTCGGGTTTAGATTCGGACCGAGAAACAGAGTTAGTTTCTTGACCCACCAAAGCTCGAAATGGAAGGAGATCAAGATCCAATCCTCTCTTAGGCCTGTCAAATGCGAAGCCATCGTCTCCGACCAAGCTCCCTTTCTGAAACCCACTCCAAAATCCAGATCGGTAATAATTCTCTTCTCTGCTCTTTTCAATTTATATTGTTCATTTGTTCTTCACTACATAGAAATTTCAAAAAGGTCCAGACTTTATTCAAATCCAACTTGATTTCAGTAGCAAAGATTGCGTCTTTAAAAGATTCGAATATTTATATGTAAACATGTTTTTTTCTTTGTTGTGTTGTGTTAGCTCGAGAGCGTGAAACTATTCGTTGGACTTCCACTAGACACAGTATCCAACTGCAACAACGTGAACCACTTGAAAGCCATTACTGCTGGTCTCAAAGCTTTGAAGCTACTTGGCGTAGAAGGAATCGAGTTACCAATCTTCTGGGGTGTTGTTGAGAAAGAAGCTCCAGGGAGATATGATTGGTCAGGGTACTTAGCTGTTGCTGAGATTGTTAAGAAAGTTGGACTCAAGCTTCACGCGTCACTCTCTTTCCATGGATCAAAAGACCCGGAGATAAGCCTTCCTGAATGGGTTGCAAAGATCGGTGAAGCTGAGGGAGGAATCTATTTTACAGACAGATATGGTAAACAGTACAAAGATTGCTTGTCCTTTGCGGTTGATGATGTCCCTGTTCTTGATGGGAAGACTCCTTTGGAGGTTTATGGAGGCTTCTGCGAGAGCTTTAAGTCTGCTTTCTCAGACTACATGGGGAGCACTATCACGGGAATCACATTAGGGTTGGGACCAGACGGTGAGCTAAGATACCCTTCTCATCAACACGAGACTAACCTCTCTGGAGCAGGAGAGTTTCAGTGTTATGATAAACACATGCTTTCTGCTCTCAAACACTACGCTGAGTCCACAGGAAACCCTCTTTGGGGACTTGGTGGTCCACATGACGCTCCTGGTTATGATCAACAGCCTCATTCAACTCCTTTCTTCTCAGACGGAGGGTCATGGGAGTCTCAGTATGGTGATTTCTTCTTGACTTGGTACTCGTCTCTTCTCACCTCTCATGCAGAGAGAGTCCTCTCTGTTGCTTCATCTGCGTTCAGTGGGAATGAAGTGTCTCTATGTGGGAAGTTACCTCTCTTACACCAATGGAACAAGCTGAGATCTCAGCCTTCTGAGTTAACAGCTGGATTCTACAGCTCTGATGGTCATGATAGGTACGAGGTGATCGCAGAGATCTTTGCTAAGAACTCATGTAGAATGATAATCCCTGGAATGGATCTATCTGATGAGCATCAGTCACCTGAATCACTCTCCAGCCCTGAGTCATTACTTGCACACATCAAAACATCATGCAAGAAACAAGGAGTGGTTGTTTCGGGACAAAATTCGTCGGCTTCAGTCCCTGGTGGGTTTGAGAGGATCGTTGAGAATCTGAAAGATGAGAGTGTAGGAGTTGATCTGTTTACTTACCAGAGAATGGGAGCGCTTTTCTTCTCTCCGGAGCATTTCCATGCTTTCACAGTCTTTGTTAGGAACATGAAGGAGTTAGAGCTGTCCTCATATGATCAAGCAGTAGAAGGAGATAAGGCTCAGACAGTGAGCATAGGTTCAGGGAATGGTGCAGCTAGTTTGCAAACTGCCTGATGAATACATCCAGATTCATTTATCTACGTAATTAAAGAAGTCTTAGCATTTTTAATAGGTTGTCATATTACTGTAAAGTTTATGCATAAATAATGAAATATTGAAGCTATCTTTTTGTCCCCCATATATATTGTTTGCACTTTCGGTATATGTTGAATCATAAAAATGAAGAAGAAATCCTTACATGCATCTTTATTTAGTACTTTAATGCATCTTAAATTAACAAAATCAACATTATCAAATACAACAGTGAACAGACCATGTTTTCACAATTTACAGAATGGTAGCAGATACTTTTACTCTTACAGTAAAAAAAAAAAAAAACAAGAAGATACTCTTACAAAAGAAACCACAAGGATGGCTTGATAAATTATTCACAGGCGATTCTAGTCTCAAAGCTGCTCAAGCAAATGGCAAAAGCCTGGAAAGCTGAGATTGGGTATCCATAGTCCATAGTGAACATATCTTTCCCAACTTTCCCAAACTGCAGTATTATCCGCTCGTTCTGCCTCTCCGGTGACAATCCCTCACCACCACTGCTAGCTGCTGCTGCTGCTGCTGCTGCAACCAGCTGAAAGTTCTTAACTGAAGCCACTGTGACGCGGCCATGGAAGTTCAAGCACCAGCAACGTAGCTGCTCATGCCACCGCGGTGTCTTGTTGCTCAGCACTAATGGTGTCTCTCTCAGGTGGCTTGAGCCGCTACGTGATGGTTTTGATTGAGACCTGGAGAAAGTTGACCGAGTAGTACCACCGAGGAAAGGAAACTCTGATGGCTCTGAAGATACTCCTCGAGGCTCCATTGCACTTGTAGGTATTGTATCCATTACGCATTGCATCTTTCTTGGTCCCCTAATTAATACCATCAAAAAAGATTCAACAAATCTGATTCTAAAAGTTGTTAAAAAATAATAGAATCTGAAAAACTTATTTACCTGGAGCCTAAGACATTCAACTCGTATGTTATATGAGAGACAGGGTAGCTTCCAAGGGGAACTTTAACTGAAGCTTTTGCGAGATTATAAGATCGATTCTTTCTCAGCCTCGCGGGTCCCGTTGACGTTGATGAGGGAAGTAAATTTCCGTCAAAAACTGTGAATTTTGTTCCTAGGAAGTTTGATCTTCCACAAGTAAAGAAAGAGAAACATATCAACAGCAAAAAAAAAAAAAGAAACGAGCAAAGCACTTCTAGTGGAACTTGTAGCTTACAAGAATATATTAAATAACTTCAATCCATCAACGCTAATGTGGCAAAATGAATGAGCTTGATCATATATAAACGCACCTGACTTTGCCAACATAAGCTTGGCTTCTCCTTGACATATCATCAGAACGCAAAGAAATAATATAATCAGTGCAAGTCGTGTGCTTCACCTTACTCGCAGCTAGAAGAAACTTCCCCTCATCAGTTAATGCTGCAAGGACATAAGAGAAAGAATGTCAATAAAAAAAACATCAGAAGCCAAGACACCAGGAAAAGAAATCAGACTCTCTAAGTAGATATCTTTTGTTTACTCTCTTTGTCTGTTGCATTATTTAAAAGAGATAAAGATGCTCACAGTTGGTTAATCCAAGATACAAATGATATGATTGGGTAGCTCGGTTACGTTTGATGAAGCACTGAACCAGAGACTCCCTTGGACCAGGCTACAAAACCATACACACCAAAAAATTCTATTAAACAACATTTCATTAGGACTACAGAAGAATCGAACATATACTCGTATATCATAAACTAGTAGAAACTCTGCGTTTCAGAGCAAACGCAAACGCACCTACACACCTAACATCAAAACTCAGTTCCAATTTTTCTCTTATGCCAGGCTACAAAACGATACACACCAACAAAGCAACTATCTTCTATTAAACAACATGTCAATAAGACTAAGAAGAAGCGAAAAGATACACTTATATATCAATAAACTAAGAGCTACTCTGCGTTACAGAGCAGATGCAAAAGCAGAGCCATATTTTGTTAGATAAGGTTCTGCTCTCAATCACACACCAGACATCTAGCATCAAAACCCAGTTCCACTTTCACTAGTATTCGAAAACCCATCAATAAAAATCGAAACTTTATGTGCTAAATCCAATCAAAACAGAGCACACATAGTAATAGGAAAGGACAGTAACCTGCTTGAGAGAGATGGGGAAAGTCAATTTAGATGAGATCTCAGGGACAGAGACAGTTTCATTCATAAGCATCCGCCATCCACGGCAGACTCCAGCACAAGCCACCACGCTGCGTCGCGACGGCCAACTTCCACCGTCAGCAGCTTCGACCCTGATGAGAATCTCTCTGAGAAGCTCCTCAGGGATATCAGACCAGCGATTAGATTCAGATGAGGCGGGAGTTGAGTTGGCCGCGGAGGCAAGGTCGTGGACCACACGATGCGACCTCGAGCGCATCTCAAGGATTAAGCTTCGTAAGGTCATGCGACTTCAGGGTTTAGGTTGTATATATATAAATTTGGATCTGTTGTGGTGTTTTTTGGGTTTTAGGGATTTGGAGAGAGAATGATTGAGAGAGGTTTTAGGTGGGAGAAGAAGGAGAAGAAGAAAGTGGTGGTGGTGGTGTTGTTGAGAGACACGGAGCTGATGATTTTCAGACAATTATTGAGGATTATTTTACTTAACTTCGATTCTAATTAATTTTGTTCTTTTTTTACATTTTTGGTTTTTTAAATATACTATGGTTGGCAAAAAGAGAAAAAGGTACATTTATAAAAGAAAAAGGGTAGATTAACTAAAAAATATATTTTGTTGACAAAAAAAATAAAAAACTAAATTTTATTTGGTTGGAGAACTTTATTTGTGATGTTTTTGTTTTAAACTTTGCCTTTTTTTTGACATTGAATTAAACATCAACCATCTTCACATATTCATAGGATGACATAAACACTATTTATATATTTTTAACACATTTTTTATGCATAAAACTCAGTATATACTCAGTTATGGATTTGATTTCTCTTTATAAACTAAATTAGTCCGTCTGAATTTAAGTTTCGACCTAGTCATTAAAAATACTCTGATAAATGATCAATTCATCTTCTAATATTAATCAGAATATATTTCAAAATGTAATAGCTAATCTAATTTTAGTATTAAATATTTTTCTCTCAAATCCGATCAATCAGTATGTAAAAAAATACAAGATGCATCCAATTAATTTGATTTGTTTAAAACTTTTTTATAACAAAAGTGTAAAAGGCATGGTATATTATTACATTTTAAATTAAATAATATTCGACTTAAGGAAAAATACAATTCTATGATGAATCAAATAATCAATGGTGGCTGGTGGTTGGATAAGATTCCAGTTTTTAATAAGGAAAAGTGTTATAAAACTCCAAATGTCGACAATTTTTTATAAAAGGTTTTTCTTTGTATATTCAACTACCTAAATAATGTCTTCAGATGACATGCTTGTATTAAAAAAACATGTTTTTAAACGGTATAATTATATTATCCTTTTAGAATATCAAGAAGAGCTATGATGTAAAATATTGGTAAAATGTATAAATAGTTTATTCTTTTACTGTATTGAGCAAATTCACTCAAATATGTTTGTGTATTCAGTAATTACATAAATAAAGACAACGCAAGCATAATGAGCTATATTATACAAAGAAAGATTTACACTGTAGGACAGTTTCTATGTTTTAAATTACATGGTGGGACACTTCTTACTACTGAGGTAGTTTTTCACACTAACCTATGCATAATGCTTTTAAAAATGACAAACTTACCCTTTTATTTTCTCAACCAAACATATATATCTCTACAACTATTCAATAAAGTATTTTATCACCATTATTGTCATCTTCATCTCTTCTCTCGTGATTCATTTTTGAGGAAGATGACTCACTAATCAATTCATCAGCATCCTGGTGACATTTTTTCGCTTTTTAACAATCTTTCCAGAAATCCATTTTTTTTTTCAATTAGATTCGCTATAACAATTTTTTATCGGTTCTTTGTATCTTCTCTCGTTTCTTAAACTTAATTCTCTGTAAATAGAAAATTTGGAGTATAAAGGCATTATTATACACGCGGAGAACGGTGGTGCCGATCTTGACTTGGCTTCTTCCAACAGAATCCTTTCTGATTCCATAACGGTTCTGATGCTTCCCGTGAGATGATGCTGGACGATTGGATCTCCGGGTGACGTTAGGTATCGACTTTCTTCTGTTGTTGAGCACGCTCAAGGAACAATGAATCTAGCAGAGAAAACAAAATTAGGGAATCCTGTGGTGGGAGAAAAGGCAGAGATGCAGGAGGAAACGCCGAAGTGAGGTACACGTATCAACCGTGAGAAAACGCCGAAGTGAGGTACACGAAGAAGAGTAAATCAAAGCATATTGATGCTTGAAGTTTTTTTTTCATTTTGGGATCTTAGCTCAAGCTTGCAGACAATTTTGTGGGTTCTTTTTTTTAAGTTTCAGATAAATGGAGTCCAAAGTCTAATGTCTTAAGAAAATCAATTATCTTTAGACGTTTGAAAGTCTGATGCTTTAACACACATAACTGCATATTTGCTTCGGAGTGAAGTTCTTTGGATCAAGAAAGGATTTCATAGTCTTTTTTAGTTCAACTAGACTTGTGCAAGGATATATGTTATGTAAAACATGATTTTTGTTGTATGGTACAATGGTTCTTTGGAGATCAATTCCTTTTTTTTTCTGCTGTACATATGTACACTAATACACTATCTCATATTTGTTGTACACGTGTACATTAAATTTAGGGATGTCACGATATCATTTTCGTTGATGAGTTTGTGACTACAATTGTGGTTTTGTTTCACGAGTATGTATGATTTGTAGTGTACAATAGTTTCTTTATGTATGATAGACATTTGAGTAAGTTAGTTATTGATCGCATGGCTGTTAAAAAAGTTGTTCAAAACGGAAATGTTGAGAAGCTATTGAAACGTTAACGGTTTTAATCATGATGTATACATCAATGCTTTCTTCATATGCATATTCTCTCTTCTTGTGTAGTGAGATATTATAAAAACTAAGTTTGATTCTTCTTGGAACCCATGTATGTGTTGCTATTGTAGTGGTGTTTCTTATGTGATGTGGATATTGTATAACTGTATATCTTCAAATATGTGTACATATGGATATCATGAGAATGGATACCCGTGAACTAATGTACACATGGATACCCATGTATACCAATGTACATGTGGCTAGCGAATATATGTACATATGGAGCAAAACAAGTGTACATCTTACTTGACGTACATAAATAAAAAATCTGAACATGCCATAGAATACAGAACATGTACAGCTTAACATCACAATCCAGTGATATTGGGATACCAATATATACTGTATATCAGTATACATAATGGATACTGTGAACTAATGTACACATGGATACTGTGAACTAATGTACACATGGATACCAATATATACCGTATATCAGTATACATAATGGATACTGTGAACTAATGTACACATGGATACTTTGAACTAATGTACACATGGATACCAATGTACATGTGGATAGCGAATATATTTACATATGAAACAAAACAAGTGTACATGTTACCTGACATACATAAATAAAAAATCTGAACAAGCCATGGAATACATAATGTACAACTTAACATCACAATCCACTGATATTGGGTAATCAAAGAAGACACAAATGGACACACATAACTAAGCTCGCCAAGGATCTACTTTCACCAAAGAATCTCTAAAAAATACATTTTTCCGGTGTTCCCTTATCACAATATCTCCCACAAAGTTCACCATACAATATTCAGCCTAATCAAACAAGTCAACGGCGAAAGCATCTCATAAATCACTAAAGTTTGGCGGAGACCTAAACCTTATAATAAACAACTGACAACAGTAGCGCCACCCCTCGTACCAAATCTTTGAGCTCCAAAATTTTTTCTTTGAATCGCTTACAAAGAGATGCAACTGTAAGAATCAAAACAATAACATCATAATTAAATCATCACCCTAAAGATAAGAACACAAAGAAACAAGAAAAGATCCCATTCAAGTGTAAGTGATTACATTTGTCACTTGCCAAACGAATTTGCACAAAAATCACAAAGATTGATTAACCAAGCAATTTGCATAAACACATAAAAGCTTTCCTTTCACATTGGACCAGGCGTAAAAACGTCATTGAAACAATCAAAACATAAGCAATATTACTTATATTGATCAGAAAACTTTTGAAACACCTCGTCAAAAAAGGTTGTTATCTTCGTTTCAATTCCTCCAGATTTACATCGACTAGCTCAAGCTACGGCTGGTACGTGTCTTGAGCCGAAGGTAGTGCTACACCGATTTCGTCGCCACAATCTTTTTGCTTTCATTCGTCTCTGGATCTAGGTTGGTTTCCAATCTTCTTCTCTCGATGGTTCTTGTGGGGGGATGAAGGTGAAGAAAAATTAGATTGAACTCATGGATTACAAATCACAAACCATATTTTCATTTTTTTTAAAAATCTAGCATTTGACAGATATGTAAGCAAGTTTGGTTTTTCGTTTTGTTTCAGATCAGTATATTCTGATCTAAAAACATCAACATTGAAAGAAAATAAAGTAAATAAAGATGTGGTTGGTAAAACATGAACGTGATGAAAGAGATAAATAAGAAAGAACAATTTTAGTTGTTTTTAAATGTGTGGCTGTAAATAAAAGAACGAAAGAATTTGACATTTTTTAATCCTACTTATCAATCAAAATTTTTACGTCAAAAAAGGAGTGTAGTTGTTTAGTTAGGGTTATTTGGTCATTTTACTCATACAAACTACCTCAAGAATACAAAGTGTCTTAATGTGTAATAAAAAAAATAAAACTGTCTTTGAGTGTAAATCACTCTTATACAAATACCACAAAAGGGTGTTATATGGGGGGCCCACTCAAAAATATCTAACCATCGCTCTTATCTAGTAGTCGTGGGCCATGCTCTATTTCATTCGGTCTCTTCCTATATTATTTACCATCATTTTGTTTCTTTTTCTTTTGGTGTGGATATTCGATTTTAGATGGAGAAGAAAAGCTTTTTAAAATAGTAAATTTAAGAAGTAAAAAAATTTAAAAGTCAAACAAATCGAAGGGATCTTAGACGACTTTTAGATAGAGGTATACGTCGTCTTACCAAAAATAAATTTCTTAAAACACAATTCGATTTTAGATGGAGAAAAAAAGCTTTTTAAAATAGTAGATTTAAGAAGTAAAAAATTTTAAAAGTCAAACAAATCGAAGGGATCTTAGACGACTTTTGGATAGGGGTATACGTCGTCTTAGCAAGAATAAATTTCTTAAAACACAATTAGTCCAAAACAGAAACTATTTCAAATATAAGTTTTACCGTATGCTTTAAAATCAAAGATCGTTTGATTGTGAGTTCCCCATGAATACATTTTAATATAGTTAGTATATATAAATGCTGTTTGTCAACCTAATAAAATAATTTTGTTGATCAAACTCGACGAACATATTTATGCAAAGTTAAAATCTCAAGAACCTAATCGAGCATTATGTATCATACAACATGTATGCACTACGCAATATGCATGAATCATGATTCTTAAGAATAAAATATTATAAAAAATACGTTTAGTTTCATTCAGTAGTTGAAATATGTTGTAACTGAAATTATTTTATCAAGCAAAAAATGTTCTAATCAGATATTTAGATATTCGAGACGTATACTTTACACAATAAATATACGTTTACTTCGAAAACAAAGAGAAAAAAAAAGCTTGGGTGGGTAGTGGCGTAGGTTAGCGTCATGGTTTTGTTCATTCGAACAAACCAGAAGTAGGTACTCTTACATTAATGATCTATTCCCTTTTGTGTTTTGTCCCTTTCTTCTTTTAAAGCCAAACCTAACTATTTTGTTGACAAAAAGAAAAAGGCTTTCTGATACAAAATAGTAATAAGAAAATAGTTGTAGATAAGTATGGCTGGATGCTTCATTCGAATAATCTTGTCATGTTCCAACCACAGTATTTTCCGCACATTGTATTGTATTTTTAATAGCTATAAAATAATATTATTTTAGAGATATTTTGGCATGTTTTGTATTTTATAACTTGTATGTACTTCTCCATCATATCGCAGTACAAAGTTTCCACTGTTGACAAAACAATGTGTGATGATTCAAACATATACCGTTTCAGTTTTGTAAAGCCATATCAATAGTAAATAGCTCATTTACATACCTTTTGGACCGACCATGATCTCATTCACGGTCTCTGTGTTGTTTCACCGTCATCGTTGCTTTTATAGTTTAGTCATATCATATCTTATCAACAGAAAAGAGTAAGTTTTATTTGTGAGGTTTGCAATCCACATCTTTTCCCTTACTGGATTAATGGATTTGTGAGTTTTAGTCTAGTTTCTTCGTTCTGGCCTAATTCTTAACTTAGTATTTATTTGTGGGTTTTAAATAGATGATGGGCTTGGGCTTAGGAGATATGGATATCAGTGTTTACAACACACTGTTGTTTTTGTTGTACAGAATAAACATGTGTTAGTTTGCGAACTCGACTTAAGTTATCGGTACAATGCTTGAGCTACAACTTAAAATAACGAGTCATGCGGAACCGGAGCTGGTTTGAAGCTTAGTTTGTTATCATGGGCTTGGGTGTTGGTTTCAACTTACAACAAGAAACAGAGCACGTGAGTACTTTATGCCCGTGTTCGTGTTGCGATTTTCTGTAATGAATCATAACTGCGAAGCCTCCAGATTGCGGAGTTCCATGAGATTTTTAAATTTTGAGTTAGTGAATTGAGGTGTTTTATTATGGCAAAGACATATGATCATCTAATCACACTGCTTGAGTTGAAATCGTGAAACCAATCCACGTAAAAAATATTTTACGATTAAAAGCAATTATAGTAACCAGCTACGGTTAAAGTCATAGTTTTCGCCTCTAGGACTAGTCATAGGCTAAAGCGATCCAGACTTATTGAAATTACATGTAAAGATTATCACGCTTTAACGAGTTTGTGTTCTTTTTCTTTTCCTTTTGATAACAAACGAGTATGTGTTCTTGGAGCTTCATATTCTTCCTACTAAGGACAAAATAAGTGGGCACCAACACAACATTATAGTGATCATACCATCTGTCACGCACAAATCCTTAAATTATAAAGTCATATATTCATATACACGAAATTAAAAAGTATTCTGTGATTTGACAACATATCAAAATATTAAGAAAATTAGAAAGTAAAGGGGAGAGACAGGAGAGGGACACTTTTATACCATGGCAGTCAGGAGCAACTCACATGCATGCTCTAACCATTTGTCCATTTTAAATAATTCAATTATTTGATTTTGTCTATAGTTAAATATCATATACCTTATCTAATCAACATATCCCTCTCTTTTTTCGCCAGCATAATGTTATTATTTGAGTGAATCATATACGTATATTTCACATATCTTTTCAAATAACTTTACAATAAGTAAACATATCTATTCAGGTTCTCACTACTTTTCTTCATTTTGAACGAATTTTTTAAACTACATAGGTTAATTGGACACTCATTGCTAGCTGGGTCTTTAAATCCGCCAAACATGATTTAAACTTTTCCAAAAGGTGCTTTAACAGAAAAAAAGAATAAAGCAGAAGCAGATACAGACAAATGAAGTCCACCTAATTAAACATATATAGATTCCTAACACACATACATAGTTTAATTAATTTACATCGTATATAAATAAGTATATAGCTCATACAAAAATATATATAATGCATGAAATAAGTAAGACTTAATTTCGTTTGTAAATGGTCCTGATACAAAACATGGTGAACTTTTGTTTTTAAATGTAAAATACATGGTGAACTTTGAGTTCAAATGATACCATTCATCGTTGATATAACTTACACCAAAAAATAAAAAAAATGCACCATAATCGAAATATTTAACATCAACTCATAATATCATAATTCATTAGGGGAAACATCAGATGTATATAAATATATCGCTTACAAGAAAATGTTTTTTTTTTTTTTTGTTTATTCGAGAATTGATATACATTTGGACAAACACGTGAGAACCAAAACGTTCGTTTAATGTATATAACTGAAGTGGAACTACAGTAGTGCTACAACGCCACGGAGCCGGAGCAAGGCGGAGGAAAGAAGGGGAAGGAGGAGTAAAACTCCGGCGGGAGGATGAGACGGTGGAGCAGGAGAAGAAACCGGCGGAGAAGCGAAGGGAGCAAAGGCCGGGTCAGGGTAGGAGGAGGCGTCACTAGTGTCAGGATCAGGAGGGCTTGGAGAAGAAGGGATTGTACCAGCGCCGGTGCCGGAAGGTAAAGCGTCACCGGGGGAAGGGAGGAGAGGAGCGATCTCCGGCGAAAGCTCTTGGAAGGGAGAAATGGTTGGAGTAGAAGGTAAAGAAGAAGAGAGAGAAGAAAGAGAGGAGAGTGAGATGAAGAGGATGATGATGAGAGGTTTATTGAGTAAAGAAGAAGCCATCTTACTCTTCATCATCTTTTCTTTTTGGTTTAAATGATGAAAAATCAAAGTGGAGTTTTCTTTTGTTGTTGGATCTGTCTCTCTCTCTGTATCTTGCTGATCGGAGTGCATTTTGAGTTGTAATGATGATGTCTCTATATAAAAGAAGCTTTGCTCTTTAAAAATATATAAATAGTTTTTTTTTTCTATAGGAAAAGAGCAAGATTTTGTAATTTCCTATGCAAAAACTTGAGCATATTTACATATATATTTTTATAATTTCCAATGAAGTACTTTACTATTTCTTTATCTGTTTCATACTAATTGTTCATGTATATAGAATTGAATTTACTATGATAGTCAATCTTTATATTCCCATATTATAGTGTGCAAAGAAAACATCCCCATAACATCTTCGAGAGGTTTACACTCACTTTCACACTATTAATTATATCATAAGAAAATTCAAGCTTTTAGCAAGAATATGTAAATTTTCACGTTACAAGAAAAAGAAAGAAAATGTAACTGATGAGAAAATTTGATTTTGCGGTTTCGAGGGGAAAAATATAGCTTTACTGATTTGGTTGAAAACGTGATTTTGATGGAGAATATAATTTTTTTTGTTTTAACAAAAATGTGATTTTGTGTGTTTGACAGATAAAATGAGTTTGTGGTTTTGGTGAAAAAAACATAATTTATCTGTTTCAAAGAAAAAAATGTGATTTTATGGTTTTGACGAGTTAACATGATTTTGCGATTTTGATAAAAATCCCCGATTTATGGTTTTGGAGAAAAATACTTCTGCGATTTTGGTGGAAAAATTGATTTTGTGGTTTTGATAGTATTGACAAGACAAATGATGTATAATTAATAAGATTTTTTTAATTTACTTAGCTATTTAGTTAGTTTTTAATTTTTTGGTTGGGCTGGTCACCAAAAGATTGAGACGAGAGAAAGATTGAGACGAGAGAAAATTTTTGGAGAAGTCAAAAGTGTGTCAATCGTAAAAATTGTCCTAGAATGTAATTAGTCGATATAAAAATGACCTAGAGTGTTAAATCTCTCTTTGAACAAACAATCTTCATCTGTGACATCTTTAAAATCAACAAATTTTGCATAATGATTCTGATCATTTTCATGGTGATTCTCTTCTATGTCCGCCATCATCTCTACTGGAAGATCTCTACCATCATCCATGATATATGTCACAACAAGCGATATGGTAGAGAAGGTACACTTTGTAAACTTCTTTTCGCCGGAGCTTAGTGAGGAATTTCTCTATTGTTTGGGTGTATTTTTGTTGATCAGTAAGCATATTGTGTAGTTTCTTATATCTACCAGGTTACAGATCTATATGATATTTATATTACGGTAAATATTATTTGATATGAAATGATAAAGAGAGCTTGAGTTTTTCTATTTGTTAAGTTTATGCTTGAAAACTGTCACAACTTATTGTATGAGTCAACTTGATGTGCAAACACATTTTGATGCTTACTATGTAAGATATACATGTGATTGTTTGGAATTTGTAATTTTAGCAAACATTGTTAGCTCGATCAAAACAAAGTTGTGTAGTCACTTAAGTAAATTCATATGCTTCTTCATATGATTCGATTTGATTTTTAAGGTCGATAATAATGCACTAAGTAATTAGTACTTAATCAAATCTATATAACACAATAAATTAGGCCTCAACATTTTAACCAAATCCAAAAATCTGAAGATGAACTGTCCCGGAAATATCCCAACCAAAACCAAACATAAAGAATTCACAAGTTGGGTCTAAATTCCTCCACCTGAAAGAACTGGAAACAAAAAGAATGACATAAATAGATATGGACCAAACAAAAGACCTGAATAGATCCGACTGAAAACCGGAATATCCATGACTAGGATTCCATGTGTTATATTTACTATATTTTAATTTATGATTTAGTTGTAATTTATTTTTGTTTGCACTCTTCTTTAATATTTGGTAACATTTTCCAATAATACGAAATTCTAATGTCAGATTTAAAGTGTAAAATATTTAATTTCAATTACTAATAGGTATATTTTTGGTTATTTTGTAAAATAAATATAACAGATTTCGGCTAAATTTTGATAAAAAGATTATGAAAGGTTGTTTCAACGGTGGACACTATTGTAATGGTGAGAAGAAGCCGTCAGCAATGAGGGATGAAGTGACGAAATTGTTTGTTCAGGGAAAGCAATTGCTTCCAAAGCCATTGCTTCAGTTGAAATCAGTCGACGAATCTTGTAAATCGATGGTGAAAAAGGGCAACGAGGATTCAGCGAAATATGTATAAAAGATGAGTTCTTTTGATTATTGGTGTGAGTGATTGGCATGCATTGCAGGTCGTTAACTTTTGGAAAGATTAAGTAAGGAAGTAAATTTTATCTCAGGATTAAATTCAAAAAAGTTTATTGATGTTTTTTGTTTTAATTGCACACATAAATAACCTAATGCATGCTGCTGCTACAAAATTCAGTATACTGCTAAAAAGGAAGTCTCCTATTCATGTGACAATACTACAAGGAAAAACCGATCGTACGTACTTAATGATGGTCTAAGATCTCTAATGTTAATGATAATAACATGTATATTAAAGATTGGTCTTGGGTAAGTTGTTTAAAAGATTTATTGGTTTTTTGTTTATGAAGTAAGAGTGGAGATAGAATGAGGTAGTATTGACATATGCTGCCGCAAATGAAAGGTAAATAGAGACTTGACCATTACATCTTTGTTTCTTACAAGTTGATAACATGTCTATTAAACGTTAGTCTTGGCTTTGTTTATGAAGTAAAAGCGTAGAAAAGGAGGTAGAATCGACACATGGTCCTGTGAATGAAAGGTAACTAGAAACTTGGCTAGTTACATAAAAACAATTTAAGAGAAAGAGGAATTCTGGGTTGACTAATTTTATTCAGTCTAAGGTAGATTTTTTTCAATTTGTCAGATTTTTTTCTTTAATTACTTTGTCCGATTACTTTTCAATTATAGGTAGTTATTTTACAATGGTATTTCTATAATTTTTTTTTTGTAGAGATTCACATTACAAACTTTCATATTAGTTGAGATTCAAATATATTTTTAAGATAAACGACATATCTAAACATTTTTTTCTCAACTAATTTGATAAAAGAAGAGAAGTTAAAAAAGTTACCTTAATTCATTAATAATCAAGAACCAAAAGAACTTATTCATTAGTGATCAGTAATTAAGAACCAAACATACATGTATATAATAAGAAATCATTGTGATAGTTTGATAGGGAACTAAAGACTAATAGACACTTGAAGATTACACCTTTGTTTCTTACAAGTTGATAACATGTTTATTAAACGTTGGTCTTGGCTTTGTTTATGAAGTAGATGTGTAGAAAAAGAGGTAGAATCCACACATGCCCTGTGAATGAAAGGTAACTAGAAACTTGGCTAGTTACAGAACAACAAGTTAAGAGAAAGAGGAATTCTGGTTTGACTAATTTTATTCAGTCTAAGCTAGAATTCATTTTTTCATATTTTTTTTTCTTTAATTACCTTGTACGATTACTTTTCAAATTATAGGTATTTATTTTACAATGGTATTTCTAAAATATTTTTTGAAGAGATACATCATTTTTTGAAGAGATACATCATTACAAACTTTAATATTAGTTGAGATTTTAAATATATTTTTAAGATAAAAGACATATCTTAACATTTTTTTCTCAACTTATTTCAATAATTACATGGTTGACAAAACATAACCTTTCAGTTTATGAACAATAGTTGTATTGTAGGGAGTAAAGTTTAGCGATATAAGTGTGATTCGTTCCTTTAAATCCTTTAATAGTTAAAGGATCTCTTGGTCTAATTAATCTTTCGATCAAAATATATTTTAAAAGGATTTAGTCATTTACCCTTCAATGGAAATTCAAGGAAAATTATAAATTCTCATAATGAAACATATTTTTTTGAAAGGTATAACTATTTACCGTTCAATATGTATAAGAAAAGATCCATGAATAAAGCTAGAAAAGTTTATTTGTAATTATAACTAAATCTTCAGTTTTTTGTTTGGTATAGAAAAAATTAAGTAAAACAGATATTAAAATAGAACGATGGTACTAGCTTTGTTTATGAAGTAAAACTGTAGAAAAAAATGTAACAAATTTTCTCCCACAACCACTGATAGATAAGTTGCGGAACGACAATTGAGAGAAAGAAGAATTTTAGTATGACTAATTTATTCAGCCTATGTTAATCTTTTTCGATAAAAAGTCAATTTATGCACAATAACTGCATAGTAGTGGGTCAACTTTAGTGATAAAAGTGTGATTCGTTCCATTAACCCTTTTAATAGTTAAGGTCTCTTGGTTTGATTAATCTTTCAATCAAAACATTTATTTCTTAAAAAGATTTAATAATTTACTTTTCAAAGAAAAAGTCAAAGAAAATTATAGATTTTTGTAATTTGCATCCAAATACTCTAATTAATTGATTTGGCTTCTGAAATTTCGAAACTTAATTTTTTGAATTGGGTGACTGTTTACAATTCAAGAAGTATAACAAGAAGATCTATGGACGAATGACTCAAAAGTTTCTTTCTAATCGTAACTAAGATAATGATTGTTTGCATGGTGTTTTAGATTTTAATTTTGGTTTTTGCCTTTTAGCTTTTATATTTTTTTGGAAAACACGAATGGTAATTTAAAATTCTTGTTTCTGGTTTTTGATTTTAGTTTTTTTTTAAAAAAAATTTTAAGACTTTTTCTTTATAAATTTGATTATGATTTATCTATTTTAATTTGTATATTACTTTAACATTTTTACTTTTTTTGTTTTTTTTGATAAAAGAAGCCTAAAATTACAAAAATATATATATCACAAATCTTAATAAATAATATCAATATATTAAAATATGTAAATCTTATAACTATGTAAAGTTTATAAACATTTTTTTTTGCTTTTAAATATACGTGTTTATCTAACTGTTTGAAATTACTAAACTAATTGATTATTTTAATATATTTCATCTAATTTATAAGGGTAATTAAGAAAATATCCTATTCATAATTTTGTATTTGTAAAATACATATTTATTTAAAATACCTTTATTATATGTGATCAGGTATTTATATAATGATTTATTTGAAATTACATTT